GGGAGGGCTGGGTGGGCGGAAGGGGTCCGGGTGCCTCTCCCGGCCCGGCCCGGGCGGTTCAGCGCAGCCCCGGGGCCCCTGCTCCCTTCCCTGGACCCGGGAGGCACCGAGGGCCGGGCCCCGCCGCAGAGGGACCGAGGGGGCGTCTGGCTCGGGCGGGGAAACTTGAGATGACACCTCGGCTGCGCGCGGAGTTTCCAGCGCTGGGGCCGCAGGAGGAGAGCGAGCGGGCGGCTGCCGTGCGCGGCGAAGTTACCTTGTTGCGCAGGAGCGGGAGTAAATGTATCTCTCGGCGCGCGCCCAGCTTTGGCTCCCCGTCGGGCTGGAGCCGACGCTGCCGTTTGCCTGGGGCGCACCGAGGGTGGGTTTTATTTACCTGAAAAGGCTCGTCGCCGCCCTGCGACTTGAGCTCGAGTTCGCCGGTTCTCCGAGCCGGGAGCGTGCGGCTGCTGCATAAGAAAGAGTTCTTTTCTAAACGAGTTTCTAAATTTACCAGCAGTGTTTCGGAAGAGGCCAGCGCATGCATATTCAACACCCAGAAAGACTGGCACGCCATTTTTTTTTGACACACCGGGCCTTGCTCCTTGAAGGGTGGGCGGGAATGGCGCTTTCTGTTTTTACGAAAATGTCAAGGAACTTCTCAGAATCCCATTAAGCATGCTAATTGCCAGATATTAAATGCTAATTGCTCTCTGCAAGTTAGTTTCTTCCCATGACAAGGAAGGGAGATGAGACTGGTGTAACCTACCGGTGACATGATGACAGGAGTGTTTTCTCCCTGACGTTTTGCAGCCTCCACTTGGAGGTGAAAAGCTTGTTCCCGGTCTGTTCACCCCAAATGAATGACACAGGCGTGTTTATCTGTTCGGGGGAGAGCCTCAAGCAACAGCGTGCCTTGATTGACTTTAAACCCTTTTGAGAGGGGAGGGGAGCCAAGGCAGTTAAAGCTGGCTGAGGGGATGGCGGCTCCCTTGGAGGGGTTACTGCACCTGAAGCCCTGCAGAAAAGTGTCACACAGCATATATGACAGCCAACAGCACGTCCAGTTCCTACGGGCTTCATCGGCTCTATCCTGCGCACAGCCTGTACTTCCAGCGTCAACATTTGTGCCTCTGACTTGGGACCACCTGTTCGCTTCTGTGTACCCTGAGCCAGGCCGTAAGGTCCACGGGGCTAGGGACCCCTCCTGCAAGATGAACAAAACTGTTCCAGCGTGTGCCTCCTCAAATGAGAAGGACCATAGACGACACCCTTTGCCCTCCTGCACGGGGAGGTAACACTGTCACCGCCGCCTCAAGCATGAACAGCAAACAGGACCTCTAGGCCAGCGTGTATAGCCGCAGTGCAAACCTCCTAAGTTCAAAGAACACAAAGGCCCTCAATAAATTACGGGCAAAAAAAAAAAATCCCTAGATAGGCAGGACCACGAGCCCAGAAATGCCACCCAGCTTCAGATCACGAGGAGGAAAACTATAGTTTTGCCAGAAAGAGCCATCATTACTGTCCAGTGAAATTCACAACTGAGATGGACGATCAGGCTGGAGAAAACCAGGGTAGAGCACAAGCTGTTTCCTCAAATTCAGACCAGTCTGCATCAAGAATTCAGACGTAGCCTTAGTGGATTTGGCTCACTTAGTTGGAGAGTGGGCCTGCAGACGGAGGGGTCCCGGGTTCGATTGTGGCCAAGGGCATGTACCTTGGTTGCAGGCTCCACCCCTGACCCCGGTTGGTGTGTGAGTGGGAGGCAACCAATTGACACATTGATGTTTCTCTCCCCCCTCTCTCCCCGAAAAGCAATGGAAGAAGTATCCTTAGGTGAGGATTTTTTTAAAAAAAAAAGGTTTCAGCTGTAAAGCATTACTGCTTAGTGGGTTGACTACCCCAACCTCCTACAGGGTAGGTGGCCTGTAAAAGAGGGAGCAGGGCCCTGGCTCATTTTCCTCAGTGGTTAGAGCGTCATGTGGGAGGCAACCAATCGATCGCTCTCTCTCTCTGCCCCTGCTCTGCCGTGTCTGTCCCTGGAGAGACTTTTTGGCAGTTAGCACCCGAGAGTCACTTTTTAAGCACTATGTTCAGTCAGGCAGACAGCTGTGGTTATGAGTGGGATGAATTTGGCCATTTTTGGGTGTTACTTGGTTGAAAACACTCAAGGCAAGCTGCCCAAGGCACCACAAACAGCAGGCCTTCACCACACTATTGTCTGTATCCATTGGTTATACACATATGCATATACGTTATTTGGTTAATCTCTCCCCGCCCCCCCCCCGAGATCTGTCAGTCTGTTCCACACCTTTATGACTCTCGACCTATTTTGTTTGTCAGTTTAGTATGTTCATTAGATTCCACTTATACGTGAGATCATGTGATATTTGACTTTCTCTGCCTGGCTTATTTCACTCAGCATAATACTCTCCAGGTCCATCCATCCTGTCCCAAAGGGTACGAGATCCTTCTCCTTTACAGCTGCGTAGTATTCCATGGTGTGAATGTCCCACAGCTTTTTAATCCACTCATCTCCTGGTGGGCACTTGGGCTGTTTCCAGATCTCAGCTATTGTGAACTGTGCTGCTATGAACATCGGGGTACATATATTCTTTCTGATGAGTGTTCCGGGTTTCTTAGGATACATTCCTAGAAGTGGGATCGCTGGGTCAACTGGCAGCTCCATTTTTAATTTTTTGAGGAAACTCCACACTGCTTTCCATAGTGGCTGCTCCAGTCTGCCCTCCCACCAGCAGTGCACTAGGGTCCCCCTTTCCCCACACCCTCGCCAGCACTTGCTGTTTGCTGATTTGTTGATGGAGCCACCCTGACAGGTGTGAAGTGATCCCTCATTGTGGTTTTAATTTGCATCTCTCTGGTGATTACTGACCTTGAGCATTTTTTCATGTTTTTTGGCCATCTGTGTGTCCTCTTTGGAGAAGTGCCTATTCAGGTCCTGTGCCCATTTAATTGGATTGTCTTCCTTTTGTTGAGCTGTATGAATTCTTTGCACACTTTGGAAATTAGCCTCTTCTCAGATGTGTCACTGGCAAATATGTTCTCCCTTACAGCGGGCTCCCTTTTCATTTTGACGCTGGTTTCTTTTGCTGGGCAGCAGCTTTTTAGTTTGATGTCGTCCCACTTTTTTCGTTTCTCTTGCCCTGGGAGATGTATTGGTGAAAATTCTGCTACGTGAGATGATCTTGCTGCCTATGTTTCCTTCTAGGACTTCTGTGGTTTTGTGACTTACATTTAAGTCTTTTATCCATTTTGACTTTATTCTTGTGTGTGGTGTATGTCGGTGGTCTAGTTTGGGCTCTTCTGTTGTACTTGGGTCTTGATTGGTGATGCCGTGTTTGAGGGTGGTGTCTCCCCTCGGGCTTGCCGACTGTAAGGCTCAACCCCAACCACGTGGTGCCAGCTGTTCTACAGATGTTTGGATCTGCTGTTTGTGGAGCTCACTGGATTTTGCTCTGATGCTGTTCATTCTGGCCCCTTGGTGTGTAGGTCCGAGCCTCCTGGAGGTTCTCTGGTGCAGGCCAATGTGGGTCACTGTCTGGGCGTGCCGGGTGATGGCAGCAGGTCCAGGTGTCCGGGGGCATCAGGTCACAGCAATAGGCCTGGGCATTTGGGGGCGTTGTCACAGCACCCTGGGGGCACTGGTCTGTGGGTCTGTGCTGGGTCATGGCTGCTTCCTCCCCCCCCAGCCTCCTCCTGAGGACCCTGTAGATTTTCCAAAATGCCGTGCTCTCCAATCCCAAGCTGCGAGACGTGACCAGCTGCAGGTCCCCCACCTGCCCACCCCAAGTCCCCACACCAACAGACAGGTGCCCACCCATACTCACTCCCACGCACACACACTCACACTTTCACCTTCACTCTGGTCCCTGCCGCCATGTTCTTAAATGTCCATCTGTCCACTTTTCATAGCAGAGGCTCTGCCAGTGTTTGCAGGCTCTCATTGTGCTTCAATGTCTGTTCTTCCCAAACTATACTGACAGAATTCTGGGTTTTTAGCTGGGCATGTGGGCACTGAAATGACTTCCCAGCACCCTTGGCTGTGGCCATGTGACTAAGCTGCAGCCAGTGGAAGTGGAAATGGGCAGTACCCTTTTACAGGGAGGCTGGGTGTGGCTCCCCCCTTCCAGCTGACTGGACTGTGGATGCAGTGGCTGGAGCCAGGACCACGAAGGGGCCCTGAGGTGGAAGGCCTGTGTCCAAGCAACGGCAGCAGCCAGGTCTCACAGCTGCCAGTTGCCATGTTAGCTATGGACTGACCATGTTTACAGGAGAGAGGGGGGAAACACCTATTCTGCTAAGCCGCTGACAGTCTGGCTTTTCTGTCAGTTTTGCCCATTCTAGTCCGGCCCAGCACAAAGCCCAGCTCATTCTGGGACAGGGCTGTTGGTTGTCCTGCTCCCTAGGTCGTACTCCGCGGCAGTGACATCCGATTTGGCCCACAAGCCCACAGGGTATGACAGTCAGCCCTCTTCAATACTTTGTGGGAAAAAGTTCCAAGAAAATAAGTTCCTTGTTTCCGTATTTGTGAAAATAAAAAAAATAACGGTGTTATTCTATGCTTTACTGATCTAATTGCCCATCTCAGGATGAAACCAAATGGAATCCTAAAGAGGTCACTGGAGCCTGGACCACTAACTTATACAAGTTCCATGCTGCATTATTTTAAAAGTACAAAACTAGAAACCTGTATGTTTAATAATGTGGGTTAGCTAAAACCCATTTTAGAATGAGAAAGACTCTTTAAAGGTAAAGAAGCCCAATAGAAACAGAAATCCAAGTTTGTTAATACACACACAGTAAAAAGTCTTTATACCGAAATGTTAGAAGTTATCTCCATGTGGTAGGATTATAGCTAATTTAATCTTCTTTGCATTTTCCTGTTTTCTTCATTTCCTATAATGAATGTTATGATTTCATAATTGGGAAAAAACAAAGTTAAAAACAAACAAAAGAAACCCACAACCTTGGCATGTCAGGATGTCACTCTAACCAACTGAACTACTCAGACAGGGCCAAGACCTGGTTTTTAACATAGTCCAGTATATCCCATATTCCTGATTGTAGGAATTGGTTGGTTCAAATAAAATGTTTTTATTTATTTAAAAAACCCACCCACGCACCCAACCAAAAAACAAAAGAGGAAGGAACAGGGGAGGACCAGGCCCCAGACGCCTCCTTGGCTCTGACTCACCTGCCAGCCCCCGCCCCCCCCCC